CTGGTACATCAGGAGCAGTGTAATGAGCTCTGGTAGTCGCACAGGACAGACTATGTGCTTGGATAACACTTAATGCGTGCTTTGCCATCCCTGTAACTCTGCAGTCTTGTATAGAGCTATTACACTTAAGGAAGGATATGTACCTGGTGAATCACACCTACTAAATCTGATTTACTTGTAGCAAAGCCTGAAACAAACAGCGCAACACATTTTTGTTTTTAAAGATATACTGCTTCCTTTGCTGTTCTACACACAGGATAATGACAATGAAAATAACAGCAAAGGGTGCCAGAACAGCCTGAGGGGCATGACTTGCTGTAATAGCACCTGACCTCTATCTGTTGTCTGTCCTTCATAAGTTGCTTGTACAGAAGTGGAACCAATTCTCATTATTAAAACCAAAACCAATTCTGTAGTTGCTGAGTGATAGGCAGGGTATGTATTTTTCAAATCTATTTGTTTGCATCTACCACCTTCCTTCTGCTGCTGAAAAAAGGGCAAAAGGAAACATTTATTTGTTTAAAAATGTGTACCTTGCATTTCTCTTCTGATAACCCCCCAAAACAATGTTCCTATACTATTACCTATTACAGTGCATTGTTTGCTAGGGCTATGTTTTCTATCATGGGATTCAAATTGCTTCTTGTGCCATCAGCATTTTCCTTTTTCACATTTCTTTCAGGGCGAAATGGATAATGTATTTCTCTGCAGTAGCAAGAAATCAGGGAAAACTTTATTTAGGGTGAAAGGGAAAATAGCAGGGCATGTACACTAAAAGACTGTTTAGAAGATCAGAAACCAACACATTTGCAAGACAGCAACACACCTGCTTTTAAATGAAACTCAGAAAGATATAGGAACATCGCATGTAATGAGCACTAACCTACCTATTTGCCTTGTAGCTGGAATGCAAAGATTTAATAATAAGGAATTGAAATGAAGGGCAGTATTTATGAAAGTCTATTTATTTTGCAGAGAAGCAGTGCAAAGCAGTGACACTCTTGTAACAGTAAAATTTGAAGTGCCTTTAAAAGTAAACAAGTGTATTTCGATTCAGTGTTATTGCATGGGAGACTACATAAATAAAAATCCAAACAGCTCTTTCTTAATTCACACATACAGTTACATTTAATGGCAATAGGACTTCCAGCATGAGTAAAACCAGCAGGGTTTGGCCCATAACAATTATTCTTGTTTGCAGTCTGCCTGTTTTCTAAAGGTTAGCGCTAAGATTTCATGTACTTTCTTCCATAGCAGTGCCTCTGATTTAAGGAGCTGCTGGCTTGTGCCCTCCAGCTCCTCATTCCCCCTTCAAAGCACTTCTTCAGCTGCGCCAACATGAGTGTTAGTTGAGCCATTTGGCTAACCCAATGTGGGGAAAAATACGGGCAGCACTCCGTGCCTGTTCCACAATGGCAATTTAGAAGCAGAGAAGTGAAGATCTGGGAAATGTAACGAGTGTACCTCATCCAAAGAGAAATGAAAGTGGTCATCGGGGAATGATAGATACAGAAGCAGAACCCGTTTTTAAGTGCCAAGCCTCTGCTTTAGTATGGTAAATCATGTAGTGGTACGTAAAGTGGTCACAGAGAAAGGACTATTAAAGCTGATTACCTAGTTTAAAAAGCAATACTAACATGAGCATAATCCAGCATCTTCTGAATTTTAGATTGAGTCTGCTTGCGATAGTGTAGCACTTACAGAATTGAGCTATGACGGGAGCTGACGGTTAAAGCAGACAACTTAAAGTTTCAAGTTTTCCCCCTTTTCCAGGTAACTAGAAATGATAGGGAGTTATGCCAATGAAGCAACAGGAAAGAAGCAGCATAAATTGCGATGCAATTAGCTTCTTTTTCCTTTCTTCCCTGAATAGGCATGTTAATGGATACCATTCACACTGCGTCGTTCACAGACAGCGATACAGTGCTCCGTTATGAAATCATTCAGATTGTGCTTAACTGTAAAAATGGGAATACTTTAAGTGCTGCAACTGCTGAGCCCTCTTGCACTTAGTCTGTAGGACGTGCTCGATGTTTTGCTGGATCAGGGCTAGAATACCGAGCCTTCCTTTGTAGGAATGAATGTAAGCTGATCTGCTGCTTATGAGAAGGTATAATAGAAATTTCATTTTTCCTTTCTTTTGAAGTTCTGTTAGCAGTGTATTCTTCCTGGCCCCTGCAGGAATGTATTTAGATAATGTTTCATTATTACTGCAGCAAATGAGCTGTAAAGTAAATGAACTAATTAGTCTTTGAATCATTAGGTTGGGTGTAGCTAGTCAGATGGAATTGTAAGCTAGTGTGCAGGGATGCATTTATTAGATTGTCTGTGATTCTGAGAAGTAAATAGAGCCCTTTTGCATGTTTTCGTGGTTTCTTTTGCCTTACATGGCTGCTTTGACTTGTTCTGTTGCCCAATATCAAGAGGAGAATCCTTATTTTTTGTTTTTATTTCCGTAATTACCTTTTTTGACCTGGGAAGATTGGAAAAGAAGGCTGGAAATGCAGGATGCAGATTTGGCTTCAGTCTTTGCCTTGATGATTTTAGGGCGCAGTATTTGCATTTTGCTTCAGATTATGATTTATGCAGATGAAGAATGGCCTTTTTTTTTTTTTTTTTTTTTTTGCCCTTTACTACTCTCTTTGACTGTAAGATGCTTCATGGACATGTCTTAGTGTCCAGAAGGTCTTGTGTAACTTAGGACTGATACTAACAACCACACAGGTGTGCTGACAGAAGTATATTGTCTCTGGAGCGTTCACACCACCATTTCATAAAGGTACTGTCCTGATTTGAGTACCTTAGAAGTCTTAAAGAGAGTGTCAGAGCACTTGCTGTTGAGATGGCTTTCAAATAAGAATGAAGCAATGGATGTATAAAAACGTGAACTCCTGTGCAACTGAAGCTTAAGTGTCTGAAATTCACATTGTATAAAATGTTTGAGGGCATTACAAGGAAGGCAAATGCTCTGTAGTAGGTCAAGGAAGGAAGAAAATAGGGAACTGTGAGCTGAAATCCTGTAAGTTGATAATTCCAGAACTGTGTGGCTATTTTCAAATGAATTGCCATATGGCAAGAAAACACTGTGAGCTCTTCCAGTAGAAGACCTTATTGAAACTGAAGTGAAGACGTACTCCTGCCTGTCATATTATCTCTAGACTCGGTTAATCGTCTCTAGAAGAATTCTACAAGCACAGGACAGTTCTCCAGGCAGCAGCCTGGCAAAGGACCCAGCCTTTACTTGCAGCTGTATGTGTGCTGTGCAGTTAGAGGAACTCAGTTTCTCATCTCAGCAAGAAACTGCCAAATTAAATAAACAATCATGGAAAGCATAATTCCTTTACCAGAGAACTTCCTCTTGGTACAAAAGCACTGCAGGGATTCCTTTGCCACTGTTTCACCTTATCTTATCTATTAGTATGTTTGCTTGGATTTTATCTATACCTTGACAGTTCTCCAGCAAAGCTGTGGGCTACCAGGGGTAATACAGAGTGACATTAGGAATGATCTAGTCTAATCTGCCTGGGAAGCAGAGCTGGCTCGGATGCAATGCTAATGTAGAACAACATTAGGAGTGATTTGATTTATTGGCCCAGACCTAGCATCATGGTTGGCTTAATGGCAGAGATGTCTCATCTGCCACTAGTGCTGCTGAGCACCATGGCATTGCATGGAGCCTTAAGAGTGCTGGTTTCCCCACGCACAGGATAGGTGTATGATGAGTCTATTACCATTTATCATGTAAATATACATTTAGGGACCTCATAAAGCTGCTGAATTCTTGAATCTGCAGGCTAACTTCTCCTTGATAGTAGGGATGGCTTAGTTAAAAGGATTGTCTAAAGTGCATGTCATTAACTTGATGGACTAGAAGAGTTCCAAAGGTTTATCGTAGCTGTGCAAGTGCTGAACTGAGTGTGGGGATGATTCTAGTGGCTGGAGCAGAAGAATAGGAGGTTGGAAATGTCATGGAGTCTTTCAGTGGAATGTTTTGAGTCTCTCCTAACCTCAGTTCTGACCCTTCCTACTGAAGTATTTGAAGAGAAAAATAAATGTCAGCAAAGACATTTAGAATCTAGGATTTTAGGTGCCTCAGAAAAGCAATGCATTTTATAAGTTTTTACTCAAAATGTCTCCATTCTGGAAATAACAGTTATTAATTCTTTCAGTCAAACTACTCAAAGCTTTTAGTTCTTGTGTAAACTGGTAGTCAAAAGCCTGGGTGAGTAAAATAAGAAGAATAACCAAGCAACACTTTATTATGTGAGCACCAGAAATGATGCCACCAAAATTGCACTTTCGGAGAAGACGTATGGCAGTTAACTCCCTCATTACACAGATACAGTCTCCATTTAAAGAAACAACCTTCAAAATAAAAAAATAACAGCTCAAGTTTGGAATCCAAATTTTAGCCCTTTGTGAACCCGAGTTCTTCCCTCAGAATGAACTTGTAGCTTCTTAGGAAAAGGTGCTTTGGAAGGGACCTGTGAGGGTCCCCTGGCCCACTCTGCTTCCCCAAGCAGGGTGAACTTTGTTCAGGTAAGGTGTTGCAGAGGATTTGGTCCTGTCTTCAGGACTTGTATCTCTGCTTATTAATATTAATTTTCAAAGCATACGTGCTTCAGAGGAATCTGATTCATGCCTTCTGAGTGCAAGTTTTAAAGCTTAGGAGTTAGAGATCAGTGAGCAAATGTTGATTGAAAGAAGCTAGAAGACAAAAGTGGCCTCTCTTTCCAGACAGGAGATGCAAGCTCTCTGTACACCTGTGAATATTTTCTGTCTTTTGGTGTGTAAACAGTCCAAAAAAATTTACCTAAGCAACTTTTCCCTCTCTTTGATTTTGTTTTCAAGCTGAACTTTAAGGTGGATTATGGTTTTTATGAGTGTTATACATAAAAATTTTTTGAAGTTTGTGTAAAGAATGGAAGAACAGACAGAGCTTTTGTTATAGTGATGCTAAGGATGTTGCTGCAGTAAATTAAGTACCTTTAATATTTTAGGATGGCATCTCTCAAGTCTCTTATGAAATTTCTTTTCGACTGCCTTCCTTGAGCTGGAAAAATGAAAAATGGATCTTCTAAACACAGTGCCTCTACTTCTTCAATAATGTATGTATATATATTTCAGGCTATGATTAAGTTATACAATATTTATATATCTAAATTCAATATCCAATTTTTTTATACCACATATCAATTAAGAATTTCTCAATGGTGTTAATTTGTATATTTTTAAAATATTTTCATTTTAAGTGGAACTGCGCTTAATATAAGCACTTAATATAAGAGCTCTAATTATGAAATAATGCTCCAGTAATCCTCAGATTTGCTCAGGGTTGTTTATTGCAAACAGAAAGCTGATATTTACAAAAGTTCACTTATGCACACGGGCACATCCATGAGGTTATGTATCAAATGATTTAAACTAATTAATAAGAAAATCATGCGTTGTTCACAAATCAGATTGTGTAAATCAAGTAAATAATTCATTATGCACTGTTTGTCCAATTCTAAGCAAATTCTTATATGACAGGAAAATCAAGATAGAGAATATTTTTGAGTATATGAACACCACAAATCACCTTCACATTGCTCCAGCACAGCCACTCCCTCACCCATGCAGGGTGTTCAAAGAATCCTGTGATTTCCCTAACTTGCACTGTGTGCATAGTGTGTAAATGAGAGTGGAAACTGGAGGTCACCTGAAAACTCTAAGACAACAAGTGCCTTAAAATCATTTCTTACAAGTATTAATTAACATGTGTCATGTGTTATTGTAAAGGGGTTTTGAAGAAGGAAATGTTCTAATGAACTGTGAAGCCAAGTAAATGACTTAAGTAGAAGGAGAGAGCAGAGATGAATGGGGGGGGGGAAATAGAATTGAAGAAACAAAATGGATCAGGTATGAGTAAAATTATTCTGTCATACTGTGAGTAGTAAGAGAGCAAACCCCATGAGTGCCACTTCTCACTGTTTTGAAAGAGGCACTCTTTCTCAGCTAGGAAATGCAGGCCATTATCTGTCACTGATGTTAGAAACATAATGTGGGAGAAAAAAAATCATAAACTAAACTTGGGCTCTATTTTCCCTCCTCTCTTCACCTTGTAAGTGCAGGGAGAAAAACTTCAGACTGCTAAAAGATGCGTTTATCCATTTGTGTATTTGTATTAGCTAGCAAAAGTCAATGTGATTAATTTTGTCATAAAACATGCATGGATTTGTTTTCTGCTACTTAAAATCTAATTTTACATTGAATGTCTACTCTTAAACTAATGAAAAGTGATATTAATTACTGCATGTTGACCATTATGCACATAATTTCAGGTAATACAAATGGTATAGTTAAAATTTGCCTCTTCTTACACTGTCTCTAGTTATTCATAAGACATTGATCAATCAATTTGAAAAAACTGGACACCCAACTGTAAGCAAGTTATTGGCTTACGGATGCACAACCATTGAAAATTAGATCTGAACTTTCACTCCTTAATATCAACTATGTTCCACTGCAAATGAATTTTCACTACAGCCATCCACAAAATAGCATTTCTATTTAATGAGGTGTCTGAAAAAAAGACTTTAATTGTGCTGCAGAAATACAGATAAGAGCAGGACTTCATCTTCTCATGTGAGAGCTGTAAAATACACAGCTTTCAGCTGCCATGTAATTTAGCAAATCCTTTCTTAAATTTCACTGCACAGAGACAACCACCAGTGAATGCTTTGACTCTAAGCACCTTGATTGTTTAGCATGCAGAATTTTAGACAAGTCAGCTTTGATTGTTTGATTTATACCTATGGCCTATCTCTAATTATTTTGACCTTATAATTTGCATAAATCCAATCTCTGCTGTTAGGTTTGGAAGACAGCAGAAATCCCATTATGCATTGTGATTCTCTAAAGGAATCAGAGGTGTGATACTGGGTGGGCTTTTTTTGTATGACCCTTTTCAACTTCTACTTTTGAATCATTCCAGTGAACTTTTGCACTCTTGAGAGATTTAAGGAAGAGATGAGCAATATGGCATTCAGCAGTTTATGGATGCTTTTTTGCCTACTTGTGACAAAAGGGATCGATGGCTGTCTGCCATGTTCATGATGTACCAGAGCTACCCAGCTCAGCAGGGAGATTTGGATTGCAGTTCTCAGGGAATTTGGATATGAGTCATTGGGTGGCTTTGTTACATCAACTACCAAACTTCTTAACTAGGATTTGAATCCTGTTTTGTATTCCAGACACTGAATCATGTGAACTGGGAGGTCTCTGAGAAGCTGGGTGCTCCTTTCCATGTAACTGGAGTGAGAATGTCCTGCACAAGTGGTGGAAAGATAGGAAATTGAAAAGTTCTAGTTTGTGTTTGCCTGGCGCTTTGCCCTGGATGAGGACTGAGTCCATGGTGTGTTTTGTGGTTAGACTGCTTTTTGAAGTCCAGGCAGAACTTCAAGAGAGTGGATAACATATTAGTATGAATTTTACCGGTCTCTTTTCATCCACTTGTTAAAAAAAACAAAAAACAAAACCCACAGTAGAACTGATATAAATTCAAATGCAGCTTCATGATAAGACTGACCTTAAGATGTCTTAATGAGTGCATATAGCGTCCTCTGTTTTCTTAGCATTTTGGGTATTTCATTCACGACTGGCTTTATTTCTTCTTATCCCTCTTGCCAACAGTCTGAATTGGATGTTTGAACATATTAACTGTGTAGTAAGACTAAAGTATCAACTGGTTCCTCATTTTTATGCAAACACACCAATCTGTGAACACAGTCAAAATCGGCATTGGAGTAATTGTACTGATGGCAGTAGACTTGCAGCTGTGATTAACTTAGTTTATTATTACTGAAGAAATTAATTCCATGTAAGGCAATTAAGTTCTCAGCCTTGCTGTTAGCTGGAAAGAGTCTTGACTTTCAAAGACAATTGGAACAGAGAGCCCAGTAGTCACTGTATTTGCTGTACTCTGCAGATCTCAGCTTTTGACCTTTATGGTAGCAAGATGACCATTCCACATCGTTGTAACCATATGTAGTGCACTATTCAAAATACTGGCTACATGTTAGACCTGTGGTGCCAGAGAATGTGCATGTGACAAAGAGGAAGGTGATTGTGCAAAGCAGGACTTACCTTCTCAGAACAAAGAAGTAGTAGGCATTTTCTGTTTATGGCACTTGGGAGGACTCTCAGGCTTCTCTGAGCAATTTGGATCAGACAGCAATGTGTTTGCAGCCACAGCTAAACACAGAACTCCTCTCCACTGCTGAATACACGGTCTGTAATTGAGTAATTGCATGCAGGAATCCACAGTGAGGGTTTTATTAGTTTGCCTGGTGATCAAGTTTATGGGTATAACTTTGAAAAACTTCCTGAAATGCACAGAACCAGTATTGGAATAAAGGCTACATTGCAATATCCTGACTATAACTCAGCACTTACTACTTTCTCCCTCTTGTTAAGGGCTCTGGCTTAAAGCATCTATTTCATTCCTAGTTCCGCTCTTTATGGTGGGAAGGTAACTATGCACAGTGCTACCGTGATGAGCTGTGGCTTTGTAAATTGACTGTCTTTGGAACAATGTTGCTTAGCATTTCTAGTTACTGTACGACTAATGAAAAGAGTTTATGCCTAAATTCATCCCAGGTGTAATTCCAGTAAAGAGAATGGAGCCAGGCATGCATTTAGTGCTGAGTGTTTTACTTCCCTTCTCTCCATTACTCAAGCCTCTGAGGCCGCTGCAGAGGAGGGGAATAAAAGATGGTGAGGAAGAAACAAGAATGAATGGACAGCTGTTGACTAATTCCACCTGTGCTAGTATAGAGCTGTGCAAATGTACCAAAAGAAAAGCAGCACATCGTGAGGATTCCAGCTTTTATCTGAAGAACATCTCTTATCCATAAAGATCACGGAGAGCTTTACAGTTGTGGAAGTGTGAATAACACTGTTAAGTCCTTTCAGTCAGAGAGGTGAAAAGGCAGTCACTGGACTGGGAAAGGGTAATTGACTGATGGCTTCTGTGACCCTGCTACTCAAAGAGACAAGGACCTTGTCAGTCAGACAAAAATTACTACTTAGAAGCAGCACAGAAATGCGGTCATTTAGCTCCAGTTATCAGTGAGGTCTGTTCATTTTAACCCTTCATACAATGCTTTAAAAATATAAGAAGAGGCAAATCTTTACAGCAGTTTAAAGACATTTATACCATGAATAAAAAATATGCTAGCTGCTGGTTCTTTTCCTTAGAAGCACAATTAGAGAAAAGTGGGAGAGCAGGGAAGGTGGGGATCCTCGGAGAACTGTGCTCCTGCAGGGCTGATGATGCTCCATGGAGCCCTGGGCAGGTAGGGAGCATGGCATGTGGCTGGAGAAGTCTCAAGGCCACAGCTTAATTTATTTTTGCTTTTTCACTGAAATGTCAGAGAAAGCACTTGAGCCTTACTGTGACTGAGAGCAGATTTTGGCACCATCTTCCATTTGTGGCCTCCCTGTTGTAAGATTAAAGCCTTGCAGTCCAGCAGAGTTTGAGCGACCTGACAACTTGAGGTCAGAAAGGTTTTTTAATGTGAACTTCTAAGGCTTTCCTTGCTCCTAATCTTATGAATAGAAGTTGGAATTGTTCTTTGCATGTAAATGTACCTGTCTTAAATCAAAGCCTGAATTTGACTTCTGGGAGACACCAAGAGAGATCTGTTCCGTTCCCTCTCTGCTGCTCAGTAGTTCTGAGTACACTGGCTTCTGGATTTTACCCAAAGAAGTGCTCAGAGGAAACCCAGAGAGGTTTTTGTTATTGTCATCAAATGGACTTGAAAGAAAACAATTTGCTGTTTTGAGACAAAACAAACGCTTATTTTTCTTCCTTGAAGGTTGCTCAGAAAGGAGTGTGCGTTGATCCAATGATCCAACTGACTAGAGCTTTCCCTATGTCTTTAGAGAAGTTGCTTTAAGCATTGAAGAGCCTCTATTTTTTTTTTCCTGTTTAAAAGTTCATTTCTTTAAAGCATCAGCAGATATTTAAATTGCAGCCTTCCCATAAGGAGAACCATGCTTTGCTGGATTTGATTTATCTGTAGGTTATTTTGCCTCAGCAAGGTAAAAAGAAATAGACTATCTGGTAGTGGGCTATTGTAGTTGGAGCAAAGACATCTCTCCTGGTGAAAGGATTGAATGTGACCCATGATGCCTAAAAAAGAGCAGTGGTGACTAGAGAAAGGCTGAGCTGGGTTACCATACAGCTGAATCAACTTACGACAATATGAGTATGAAAGATTTCAGATTACTTGGCTTCAACTACAGATGGCTGTCAGTGAGTGCGACTCTGCAAACATGCCCATCTCTGCCATGGGAATGAGCACTTATTGTGGTGTGGGTAAATGTAGGCAGTTCATCAATGCATTTTTTGCTGCTCTGAGGCAGATTTTTGTGGCTACTGCCAGAGATCAGATAAAAGCTCTTTTCTGTGACTGAGCACATCAAGCCAGTTGACTTCTCTTTTGATTTATTTTTGGTATTTACAAATGCTGTAATGCTGCAGATATGATATTCTGAACTACATGCTATAGTTTTGCCTGAAATGTGAGTACGGGTACTGTGTGGTCAGAAAGGTTTTTCAGTTAAGTAAACAGATTATAATGAAGGGAAAGAGAAAAACAGCGCCATGAGAGAAAGTTAGGAGATAAAAGCAAATGTTTGTATCACTTGTCTTTGCCTTTGCCTCATAATTAGCAGCTCATCATTTCTTGACCTTGCATAGAGTTTGTAGGAGACAGGTCAGGACTCAGTCTGGTATTGTTGCTATTGATTTTTATAGACCTGAAATCCCAAGGAGCTGATGTGTATAAAGATAATACCCAGTGCTGCTTGGTGTATAAATTTATGTATTTTTTTTTTCCTGAAGTGAAGCTGAATAAAGACTGTTTATTTTTCACACTCCTTAGATGAGCAACACAGTGATTGACTGTAGCTGTGAGATATGCATATCCTATTGAAGCAAATTGTGTGAAAAGAGTTGTATAATTCATTCACTGATGTGAACTAAGTTCATATAACACTGTCTCAATGACTGACTGATACTATTGCTTAGTAGATGTGACATTTAAAAGTTTAATCATGATCCTGCAGCATTCACTGGCTCGTTCTAAATTGTAGAATAAGAAATGGGGCATTTGGCATGCTTTCAGACACGTTGCTATCTGCTGCAAAGTACTCAGTAATATAAGTGCGTGTATCAACCTTTTCATCTATTGATCTCAAAATGTTTTACTGAGTTAAGTAGGAATCATCACCCTTCCTATTAAAAAAAAAAAAAAAAGGGATAGGCATGCAGAACCTTACCCAAGCCCTTTACAAAATCAGATTACTTCTTGTGATCATATATAAATGATCAGGGAACTCGTATTCAGCATTTCTGTGTATTAGTAGAGCCTTTCAGGGCCTGAGCTGTGAGGTTCATGTCTGCTTACAATGTGACTTTTTTAAATAGCTTTCAAAATACCAATTCTGTCTTGACAGTGTTTGTTGTAGGTGGTTGTACAGGTAAAGACGTGATGGCAAAGGTGTCTCTTTCTCATAAATAGTAAATTATGTGATGATATCGAGTTTGGACTTATTACAGATATCAGCTAAAAATAGTGAACTGTCAGAACAGCTTTAAAATGTTGAAGTATCAATGGCATTATCCATATGACTTAAATTACTTTTCCCAATGGAGAATAAGCATGGAAATGTGTTCAAATCTTCTCTCTATCTCTGATGACCTGGCTCATCAAAGACTTTCTAATTGGGCATTTAACCTAGTTTTCCTTTTCTGTATCACCCACCCTTAGCTATTTTCCAGAAATCAGGGGCTTTGCTAATAGTGGAAGCCAATGAGGCTCCATCAGGGAATACCTGTGTGGTGTAGACTGCTCAGTGGAAGAGCAAAAGGTGATTGCATGAAGTGTTAGGTTTGGCACTCAAGCAAGAAGAGCGAAAAAATGGGTTGCCATTCAGAAGGATTTGTCCTCTGGGCTCTTGTAAACTGCCACAATAAAACCATACTCAGTGAATGCTTAATCCAATTTATTAAGTGGATATTAAAAGTGACTTCAGCTTGTGTGTCAGAAAGATGATGGATGAAAACCTCTTATCTGTGCATTTGCTCAGTAAACTCTACTGAGGTGCAGGCAGAGGTTAGAATATAGTATGCTAATTTCACTATAAAGCAAATCCATTACACATCTGAATCTAACAAAATATTTTTTCTTAGTAAACTCTACTGTAGTTCTTACTGAAAACAATGCTCAATATTTTTAACAACGGTTTGTGTGTAGGTATAGAATTCTATAACTGAGCAATAAATGTTGAAACTCACTTATTTATAAGTTTTCTTATCAGACTGAGGAAAAAATCCCATTCATCTGCCATTTTATTTCTCTGAGCTCTGTTAACTTGTTCCCCACTCATGTTATAGTGAGAGTTACATTCAGAGAAGCTTTGCATCCTCTTTAATATTGAGGTTTCCACCTGCACTTTCTGTACTATCTCAGCT